TTGTAGTTTAAAAAAAAAAAAAAGGTTTTGGATCTATAGAATTATGTAATTAGTTTTGCCTACATGAACAACAACCATTCTAGTTGACTATCATAGTTAAAAAACATACAAACACATTTCAGCCTTTTGTGTCCTTTATTTTTGGATTTACTTTGCTTATTATATTTTCCATCATACCGGGTTCCCCACCACCACCTCTTTGAATCGTATCATGTGCGTCGTCTGACAGTCGCTCTTGATATCTTGGGTGCAAAAGTGTGAACTTTAAAATGAACGCCTCCATTAGACGGCCTGTCCCCACCTACAGCTGACTCTGTAAGTAGACGAGTTCTGTTATTCTTCAACAGTTTTGATGCTCGCTGGGTTGATGCTCTCGCTCTTCCTCATTTCTTCTTCGCTGGCTGCGTGATCTAATGTGTCAGAAATGGGGGAAGTTGTCGGACAAAATGAAAGTAAATTTATTCAAATCTGACAGGAGTGTAAAAAAAGACTGTATACTTTTGGTGTTGATTTCACTGTCAGCTGGCCCCGCACAGTTGCATTACAAAGCCACAGCTTGGATAGAAAAAAATACGCTCTAGATTAATAAAGACTACAACTTGTGCACCTGTTGTCCTTGGGAACACGATCAGGCCCCGCCTCTTCAGCTCTGAACTTGTCTCGTCATGTCTCGGGTCGAGTAAAACTTGACTCTGCTTTGTTGTTGCTGAAGGAAACTTGCTGCTCTTGAATGAGCCAGCATGTCTGCCAGAGGCGAGGAGCGACAACTGTTCAGTGTTCACATTATCTGCTGCTCCGCCTGCCCGGGCTCCAAATGAGTGTAAACTATTCTTCCACTAATGGATTTTTTTTATTGACGTTCCTATTTTACAGCTAACATTGTTAAGGGGTGGGGGGGGGGGGGTACTGAACTCTACCCGGAGCCTATAAATGTCAGTCACGTTAATGGAGACGGTGAAGCTCACAGAGGCGTTGGTTGCATAATCAGTGGCAGCGTAAGATCAAACACTCATTAGTGTTGTTTCATTTCAGCCTAGCCCTCAGGAGTTACAGACTGCTTCTTTGTAACGCTGGAAACACAGAGGAGGCGGCTTTACCATGCACCGAAACAGGTTTTGTTCAAGTAGGGCACTGGAACAAGTTCTTGGCTTTGACATGAGCTATAGAAGCTTAAACAGGATTGTGTGTGTCAGGATTTGGTGCTTTAACCAGGCACTCTCACTCATGTTGTGGTTTCCAAAAATCTTCCCCCGGTGCCAGTTGTTGGAGGAAGTTCTACTTTGAGCACCAGATGGTGTCCTAATATGGTTTTGACTCTTGTCATTCCTGCTCGCTTTAATGTAACTAGCCAATCGGGACGTATCGAACTCATCCTTACCCGCTTTGAATCCAGGAAGCAGAACTACTTCACTGTCCAAATCCACCTCACACGTTGAGAAGTATTATTGCGTATGTTGATGTTTTCCAGTCTCCATAGTTACGAACCCATCACTGGCCCGTCGCATGTCCCACTGACGGTACACTCGGGTGTTTTGAGTTTTCCTGGTTTGATCTCATCCGGCTCAATGTTGCCTCCACTGAAGCCAGCTGGAGAAATGCTTCATACCCGCTGCTTTAATGGCAGTGAGCTCATTCAGTCATTGGGAGCAGCAACAAAGACTAAAGAGCTGAAATGATTAGTTGACTGGCAGAAAATGATGTGCCACAATCTCGGTAATTTGTCGTTTGTCATAGTAAACGTAATGTCTTTGGGTTTTAGTGTTTCTGTTGGACTGTATAAGCTATTTAAATGCATCAAATTCCATTCTGGGAGATTGTTATGCTCATTTTTCCCACATTTCTGATATAGACCAGACAATAAGTTAATTAATAATCGTCACAATAATCTATTCTATATCAAATTTCCCTCCCCAGAAGTAATTATTTCCACAAAATCTCAACCTTTTGTTAGTTTGTCCCGATACTCCAGGGAGCGTCTGCCCTTCTGTTCCTCTTCTGTCTGCAGAAACGGCCGCACTCATTCTTAATTATTGCATTCCGTCTCCTCTCTGTTCTGGTTTACGTCGTCTTCAGCGTTTGTCAAATCATGTGACTCAGACAGTCGTCGCTGAATATGGATCACTGGTGCGACACAAACTGCTGCGTTGTAATTCCTGATAAGCTGTTCTTCATTCACTCACAGTATGCACACGACAGACCGCGACAATAATTCAATTTACTTTATTACAACTAATAATTATTGTGCATTCTCTTGATATTTCTTAGCACAAGTGAGTAAAAGTAAACATTTACTGAGTTAAGTTTAAATTATGTAGCAACTGCTGGGAAAAAAAATCCGTCTCCTCACTTTTTTTATTAAGATGGCAACAGCCAAAGTGCATCTTAATGTTCCTTCTATTTGTTGTGAACTTGCAGCAGCTTACAAACTGAACTCCCGTCTCTTATTTCTTGGGCTTAGTTAGGAAAATAAAGGAAGAGGTTCGACATGTGAATTGACCTTAAAGAGGGCTAAGATGGGGCCATAAGTGAATAGTAACTGCTGTGTTGTACTGCTACAGAGTGATTTTGTTAATGGTAACGTGTGTTGTCTGAAGCCACTGATGAAGCAACATGGGTGTAGTCCAGAGACTCTATTCAGGGTCTGTACTTTACAGAATGAGAGAGGCCTGTGGATGACTATAGGAGGGCCTCATCTAAATTACACACACATTTTCTTTTAACATTTGATTATGTAGCCAGTGGGGGGTGTCACATAATGTGGTCTGAGGGAGGTAAAGGGACACTAACGAGTGAGTACTGACTGCTGAAATGTGCTTGTTTGTAATTTATTTCTTAAAGTGATGGGTGTGTTTCTCGGCCAAGTGACACCATGTGTATCTTATTTAACGGATGTCTGCTTTGTTCCTTGTATGATGTACTTGCATGTTGCTCATGTTTAGACATTGTCATATGTGACGGGGATCAAAGGGAGCGGTGCACTGTCACCCGAAGAGGCTGTGAGTGACAGTGTTTCCTAGCAGCAGAGGTATAGGGAACATTCCTTCCCTAACACAGCCGTCTGATAGCAATCTAGCGAGAGCTTCCTCTGGCCTCACACACACACACGCACGCACACACACACACACACACACACACAATGGATGGTGTGGAGGAACAGAACATTGTGTCCTGAGGGGGAGTCTAGAGTCAACCTGGTGTCTACTTGCAGGCATCTTCCTGGCGTGTGGTGGTATTTATGGTGATGTCACGCTTTGCTGCAGACGTAAACCTTCTTTTAGGATTCTTTATTAGAGTCCGACCGATCCAGGATTCTTTGAGGCCAATAAATCAATAGGCCGATCTATAGTGGAGCTAAAATATCAAAATACCGCAGTGATGCATTTCTATCAAATGTTTTTATTTAGATTAGGTAACTTATTGAAGAGCTTAGATATATTCACCGAGTCATGATGGAGTTAGAAAAGACAAGCTTTTCGGTTCCCTCTGGTGGAGAAACTGTTTAATGGTGACACGGTTACCTAAAACGTTCCACATCTTCGACATTTCTGCACTTCAGTTTCTTGTCGCGAAGCCGGATATGAGCTGTTATGAATTAATATTGGCTGAACATTGTTTTTCCTCAAGAATTTTGTTCAATTAAGAACTTGACTGTTAATTGAACCATTTCTGAATGGATTCGTTAACGTTGGCGGTAGCCTTGGATGGAAGTGGAACCTTTAGCTGCAGCAGGGGGGTCAGCCTGCTACAGGCAGTCCTGGTTCTGGTCCTCCAGCAGCGTGGTGTCGGTGTTTGCTCTCAGCGTGGGACCGGCAGAGCAGCGAGGCCAAACTCTGGAGTTTCTGGTGAACCTGCGTCATTTAATCTGAATTGACCAGGAATCCGACCCTATGACACAGAGGACGAGCAGAAAAACTATAGAAATATCAAGTCATCTCTCTGCTGGTCTCGTTTACTTATGGAGGTGGTATAAAGGCGTCAGTACTACATTGAGGCTGTTTCATAACCACAGTAACTCGATTAAATGTATTAATGGTTGTCACTAGTAGGCCTCCATACACACTCCAGCAGTCAGGAGGGCACAGTGCCTGTTATGTGACTGAAGTGGGTGGAGAGGAGACTCCCTGACCCCTCCACCCATCGGTTCAGGTTTCACTTTTCTAAATGTGGTCAAAGCTGCCCCACTAAACCGCCCTCCGGTGCCGCTCCGGTTGGCCTATTTCTACCCCTGCCGCTACCGATGTAGCTCCCGCAGCAGCCAGCGCCATGCCGTGCACGTTTTCTTACAAACCACCGTGCTGCCCCGGGGACCCGAGCCGGCACGCGACCCGCGAGCCGCTGCTCTCCTGTCGGACACGCTGCAGGTAACACCGGCCCGCTGCCTCGCGCACTACAGCTAACTTATGATCGATTTGAATGAGTCTCCCCCCCCCCTCCCCCACACACAAAAAAATGGGGTCATCATAGCTATACAGTCATAGGGGGTGCGAGAATGTGGGCGCTAATTAGCACACCTTCACTGAATATGTCTGTTCCACACAATGACGCAAGATTTGCGCGAGCTCGGATTTGTTGTGTTGCCTGCAGCCAAGCTTTTTTTTTTTATTTTATTTTTCTCTCCTGTAAACTCAGTGACCTGATCTAGATAGGAGTTCTAATGTATGTTATGTTGATGAGAGGTGACGGGTTTCCTGTAGGGGAGCTGATAGCGAGTTGGCTTAATTAAGCACCAGTGTCATTCATTTTGTGACAAGAAATCTCTCTCTCTCTCTCTCTCTCTCTCTCTCTCTCTCTCTCTCTCTCTCTCTCTCTCTCTCTCTCTCTCTCTCTCTCTCTCTCTCTCTCTCTCTCTCTCTCTCTCTCTCTCTCTCTCTCTCTCTCTCTCTCTCT